GTGCTGGAGGAGAGGCACAGGCCCAGGGGCTAAAGCTGGGGGAGAACTAAGGGCCAAGAAGGAGCCCCAGAGTTGGCTGAGTAGTGAATGCCCCGATTACTGCTGCTGCCTCTAGCCCAGTCTCCCAATTGCTCCTCTCTGGCTCCAGCCCTGCCCTAGGCTGATGCCTCAACACCACCGTTTTGTTGTTCCCCATCACCTTCCTATTAAATGTCTGTGTGCAGAAGAACCCTTGTGAATCGTGAATTGCTGTATAGCTTGACATTACAGTATACCTTTTGCTTTTTCTTGTTCCCTTCTAAAAAAATCACTCTTAGCCTTAGCTCCATCTTACAAGTTTGCCTATAGTCAGCATTGTGTTTTCTCTGTGGTGTCCCCAGTTCGCAGCTTGGGGTGAGCCCCAGTGAGACAACTGCTGCCCAGGGAACAGAAAGGAGGTCTCCACCATCATCTGTGGGCTCTGGGCTTGAGGTATTGGAAGGGATGCCTTGTTTTTTTAAGGCAAATTATAGTGATTTTAGTATAAAGTTTATAGTAAATTTATAATAAAGCTAGATTTACCGACTGGAGACAGCAAGTCAGTTGGGGCTCCAGAGCTGGCTGTTTGATGAGGAGTAGCTTAGTTCTTCATGTTCCTCACAAGACTGTTTTTATCATCCAGCACTTGCCAAGGCTCAAATGCTCAGTAAGTGTTTGTTGAATTATTTGTTGAATTTCATGACCTCAGCCTTTCCTAACTCTTCCCTGGTCTACTCCTACTTTGGTCTACAATTGAGATTAATTCTTACCAGGCAACTCACAGCCCTAAACTGCAGCCAGAAAGGACAAGGGCCAGTAGGCCACAAAACTGATGGTTAAACTTGTTTATTTAACACAATGGGGAGACTTTCAGACCTCCTTTCCTGCCCATTAACTCATTTTAGACTCTACTTCCTGCATGTTCTCTAGGGAAGAGATAGGAAAAACTAGGAAACTACTCATTTTTTACCTAGTCATATTCCATAGCCCAGCACTTCTGGGCCTACATCTGTCCGCAGCTGGTCCTGAGAAAATGTGGTTGGCCCCAGAAGCTCTGGGCAGCCTCTCCAGGACTCTAATTAGGCAGCTGGCAAGAACAAGAGTGTGCCCTACCAGCCTGCAGTTTTACTTCCTCTTTCCTCAGCAGTCCCCACCCCCACCACTCACCTTCCTTCCCCCCCACCCCACCCCAGCAAAGCGTAGGCAGTATCCTGTGCCTGCCAACCAATCACCCACATCAACTACTGAGCCTGCTTGCCCCAAGTCTGCTTTGCTTTCCTTCTGATCCGGCCCACTGCCTGGTCTTGCTCCTCACACCACCAGGCTGAAACCCAGGGAGTGGGCAACAGTGGGTCTCTCAACTGCGAACAAGCCAAACTGACAGGAGTGACCACTGCAGGGGCAGCCACTGACTTACGTGTTCATGTCTCTCAGCAGAGCCAAACGCTGCAGTAGCCCTCCCACCAGGCCGTGAGGGGGGGACTCTTCCTGCTTGAGCAGTCGTGTTGAGAGCCTATGCATGGCCTACCACTCACAAGGCGGGATGCTCCCTCTGCTGACCTCTAGAGTCCTTGGCCAACCTCTAATGACCATGCGCAAAGTGGCAGGCCAAAGGTGTTGCAGCTGAGGATGCTACTAGTGAGTTATCAACTCACCAGCCAGGCAATGGGTTTACAAGCAAGTGCCCAGGCCTTCTGCCAGAACTGGTACAGGAGCCTCAAAGGCACCCCACTGTCCTTGCCCCCCACAAACCAGGGCCTAGGAGGATGAACCTTATTCCAGCTAGAGGCTGCCAATCTGATCAAGGGTTGAGGTAACAGTGGGGGATGAAAGGCAGCCTGAGGTACGTGCCAGATGCAGTCTTTGAGGATCTCAGGCCGGCCTTTTCCTGGTCACTCATTTCTGGCCCTATGGCTGCTTATTAGAACCTGGAGTTGAGGAGACCCAGGCTGCTATGCATTGAGAGCTGGATCTAGGGGTTCCTCCCACCAGCCCACAGGCCTTAGTCACCAGGGGCAGTCCCAGGGAGCCCAACAACCCATCCACACAGCATTACAATGAGTCCCAGTGTGAGCTAGGAGATCTAACAGGAGACAACCCATCCCCTCCCTCCAACTCTAGGAACCAGGCAAACAATGCTATGAAAACTCAATGGAAGAGGCTGCAGCCATAAAATTCTGTTTAAGACAGATAACATGGAAAAAACGTTTATATGTTAAGTACAAAAAGGACATAAAATTGTATATACAGTAGAATAACAACTATGTAAACACACCAAAAATCTATGCACAGAAATGTCTAGAGGAACACTAAACACCAAAAGATTAGCAGTGGTAACATTTTGGTGGCAAACTGATTCTTTTTAAAAGTCCCAGATTTTTCTTAATAAGCATTAATTACGATTGCAACGGTTTTCTTAAAAAAAAAAAAAAATACCACACTGGCTGGTGGTTGAGCAGTGCAATGTCACTGTCACATATAAATCAGAGGCTTTGGCCCTGACTCTTGAGAGCGTGGTGCGCCCCCCACCCCCAGGAAAGCTTAAGCACCTCTGGCTCCTACTGAGGGTGTCCTGGCAGCCCTGGTGCTCCTCAGCCTCTCTGACCCACAGACTCTTTTCTCCCTTAATTCTGCCTTTTCCCACTACCACATCATCTTCGGTCACTTCCAGCTGCATCCTTCCCTCTCCTTCCCAACTCAGGAGCCAGCTCTGCAGCCACAGGTCCCCATAAATAGAAGCAGTGCAGTGCAGTGCATATTTTCAAAGGACATGGTGCCTCAGCTTTGGACACGCAGGAACTCAATACAAATCATTTTCCTGCTGATAGACAAGTCATGGTGGCTGCTCTGGGTACAGATATGTTAATTATGCAGGCTTTCTTATTAACCTGTAGTTCCAAGTACTTTCTCTGAACAGTTATTCCTACCATGAATTTTCTATCCTGGAAAGCCAGGGGTAGGCAGTAACAGCTCAGATCACTTGGTTTCTAAAAGTCCCTCCACGCTGAGAATGCAGAGCTATACGGTGTGTGGCACCTCAGAAGCTGCAGATTCCAGCCTATGTCTGGGAAAGACGTATGCCCCTTGCTTTTAAGGTTATGGAACAAGCCAAAAAGTAACGGCTAAAAAAGCAAAACAAAACAGTAATTGCTAGCAATTCACAGCCTATTCCTGCTGCTGAACAGAGGCAGTAATGGCTTGCTTTCCCCACTAGCAGCTAGGTACTCTTGGGCAACTCAAACATAACCTTGTTGAGCCTGTTTCTGGATCTGCAGGGAATGTGTTACTTGCTTAGATGTTTGGGAACTTAGTGAAATAATATGCCACTTGTCCTGCTCTAAGAAGGCCATGCAGGGGAAAAGGCAATGAGCTACGTGCAGCTCACCTCAACCCCGATCAGGAATCCTCCCTCTCCCAGGAGAAGGCAAGGAAAAGAAGTTAAGAAAGCAGACATACCAGGTAAACAGGAGTGACCTATAATTGGCAAACAAGCCTCAGACAAGCTGAAAATGCTCTGGTTCCAGCATCCTGTCCCCAAATGCTGGGAGCCAGACACAAAAGGCATGCAAAAGTGACTGTCACACACATACAGGCGCAGACAGAGCATCACTGGGCAAAAAGGGGGCTAATACTGCAAAGAAGGCCCCAAAGTGCGGCTTGAGGAACACAAGGGAGTCATTCCAAGACCCTCACTTAGCTGCCATGGGACAGCAAACACTCAAAAGCTTTGCTTTTGTTCAGTCTCCCAAAGGGAAAAAGGTAATAGGGAAGACTAACACTTGTGACAAACACTATTAGCAAGAATGCAGTCTTTCTCCTGGGGCAGAGGACTCTATCTCCTTCAGATACTTTTTAAATATATATATATATATATATATATATATATATATATATATATACACACACATACACACACACACACATATGCATACATACATATATGTATATATGTATGCACACACATGATATATTTAAATGAAGGTGTACACACACTGTGCTAAAATACAAACAACAGAAATTCCAAGTCATATATAAAAAGGCTGAATATAACATATAACATATAACACAAGCCTAGAGCCAGCTCCTGGTTGGGAGCTGGGGAAGGGGTGGTATCATCTGGAGACTATGTACACAACTTGTAGTGGGCAGGGAAGGCATCAGTGTAAACAACTCAGACTCACTCCACAATACTGGCCCACAGAAAAGCGTGATGTATCTCATGTACAAAAATAGACGCCCACCTTGCTTCTGTATACAACCAAACTTGGCAGGCACCCAGAAGGACTGTGTGTTAGTTTTGATGACAGGGCACCACACCAAGCTGCTGCTAAACCTCCCAGCCCTAGGAAGTCATCTGCTACCCCTCCTCCCTCACCCAGAGCCTGAGGCACACCCAGATCATCCACCCTCACATGACTAACTTGCAAGCCTTCCTGGCAAGCAAGGTCCTTCTGTATCTGTCCCTTTCTGACCCTAAGATATATGGAGACTTATTTCTGTAAATATTTGGCACCTAAGTAACATGATGGTTGTGGATAATGCCACAATGACACAGGGAGAACCAGTAACAAGACATGCAGGGTGAGGGCAAGGGGCACTGAGCTGCCCCAGCATCTCAAAACCAGAACTGTGGCTTCCCACGCATTTATGGGGGTGGGCAAAGGGATGTGCAGAATTAACAACTTCACCGACTCCTCAGCAGCAAATACATTCAAAACTGAAGGTGTCTTGAGGGCCCCACTATACCCTAGTCACGAGTCTGGTCACTCCTCTGGAGGAGCTCGGTGCAGTGACAGCTGGAAAATCTGAGTCCTGATTGAATCTGCCGCACCAAGAGTCCTTTTGAAGAAGCTTGGCAAAGTAATTTTTTTCTTTTGAGCAAATGTACAGCACATCCTTGGGAAGGCCATGTGGAAGGATGCTCTCCAGCCCAGTCAAATGATCCAATCTCACTATTATCTTAGTTCCCTCTGAGTTTTTTCCTACTGGCCACCCTCGCTGTACAGAAAACAGCCAAGCACTATGCAGGTCAGTCATCAATGGTGGGCAACCAGAAGGCCTGGATGGAAGGAGAACATAAGTCAACTTTAAAAAGCCAAGCCCCTCTCCTCATTTCTGAGGGTTTTTCTTACCCCTCCCCAACCATCAAGGCACCCAACCCCAAAGTTAGAGGAGTTATGGCTGGTGGCCTTCCCTCCTGACCAGTTGACTCTGGCAATCTGTGGACAAACACTCCCCCATCTATGTGAAAGTAAACGTTGTCTAACTTCCACCATAGTGGTCCAGTGGTAAAGAAAAGAAGAAGTGCTGTCTGGGGAGGTGGGTGTTTGGCCTCACAGCTAATCTACCAGGTGACCTCAGACAGACCCTCTCATTCATGAGCTGTAAAAAATGTGAGGGACTGGACTGGATGGTTTTGCTGCATTTTTTTCTGACACTGTTTTCTTTGTTTAAAAAACAAACAAACAAAAGAAATGGAGCAATGTGTTCTGGGTAGGCTAGTAATGAAATGCCTCATACCCAAATACCCAGGTAGGTTTAGGAGATGCCAAGAGGAAACTGGAGGCTGAGACTCACTGATGTTTTGTTCTGCTAGTGTTGTCTAGGAAGAGACAGGGGCCTGGAGAAAACTCTAACTGGTGAGTTGTGATCAACTGTAAGAATTTCTGATGAACTCAGCATAACCTGAGAAGAATGGAAAACTGAAAGGTTACAGCCACAAAAGGCTGGTTCAAAGTATTTTAAGAAGCCAAAACGCTGTGAGGCATAGCCCCAGGTAGTTTGGGCATAAAACCAGGAGCCAGAGCAAAAAAACTGGCCTAAGATCTCCTGGGAGCTCGCGATCCCAGGTCATGGAAAGAAGAGCAAAAGTGAAAGACCAGAGCAACCAAAGATCAGATAATAGAGGTGAAATAGCCACCAGCTGAGAAACATGAACTTGCGTGCTTGTAATTGTACCTATTTAGAACACAGCTCACTGTGCTCATTGAAGGACCCACCACCCCAACTGGAAAGGGCCCCTAGATGAAGGACATCTCCCGTTGTTCACATACCATGTTGGAACAAGCACTGGCAAAGGTCATGAACTTGGGGTTGAACTGCAAACAGGTAATGGGGCCTGTGTGTTTACCATCCAACACAGCTACTTTTATACCACTCTCTCCATTCCAGACATGGATCTTGCCATCCTCTGAACCTGAAGAGAATGATCAAGGAATATAACAACAGCTCAAGGCACAATACAAAGACAAGTGGCAAACAGACATGGATTGACATCTGGAGAGAGGCCAAGCTTCAGGACCCAGCCACCAGCAGAAATGGAGAGGGAGTAATGGCAGTGAAGAAAAGACACTTTGGGAACTGATCTAGACCCTAGTTATTTGTTCCTAGGCAAGTCACTTCCCCTCTAACTTCAGTTTTCTCATTTAAAAAGGGGGCTGAATACGATCACCCTACGAACATCTACACTAAGATGACTGAATGAAGGGTTACATCAGTGCTTGTAGAGTTTAACTCTATGATGGTCCAGGGAAGACCAACATTAACGCCCGTTCCCAGAAAAGAAAGCAAAGTCAGGACAGTTTAAAGACACTATACCTTTGACATAACGTGCTACACAGAAATCTGAGAAACTCTATCTCAAAAGGATAATAAATAATATCTTAAATTAGTTAAAACTAACAGAAATAACATAATGCACAGTACCAGATAAGTAACACCCAAGGGGCGGGGGGATAAAGGAAGCTTACCAATCATAATAAACTGCGAGTCTGGAGTAAACGAGGCCTCCAGTGTGACGGCTTTGCTGTTGGCATAACCCTAAAACAAGCAGAACAATTCTCATTACAGTGCCATTAACAAAAAATAATGGCCTACAAACACTGACCCCAGCACATACATCTTCTTCTTCTTCTTTTTTGATTAAAAAAATTTTTTTACAGTAAAATATAGATAACAATTTACTATTTTAAGTATTTTTAAGTGTACAGTTCAGTGGCACTAAGTATACTTAAAATGCTATGCAACCATTACCATCTTCTGCCTCCAAAACCTCTTCATCATTCCGAACAGAAACTTCATAATCTTTAATAGTAACTCCCCATTTCCCTCTTCCCCTGCTCCCTGGCAATCTCTGTTCTACTATCTATCTCTATTCTAGGAAACTAATATAAAAGTGGAATCGTCCAACAGTTGTCCTTTTGTGTCTGGCTTATTTCACTTAGCATAATGTTTTCAAGGTTCATCCATGTTGTAGTACATACATCACCTTCCTTTCTGTGAAACCCTTTCTTCCTCATGCACAGTGCTATCAAGGTTTCAAATTTGGCTACCACCCTTTACAATTCACCCCCTTATCCCCAACTCCATATTCAAGGGGGCAAGAAAATGTTTATGGTCAGAAGTTTATTATATTATCTAAACACCAAACTTGAGTCACTGGGTGAGAAGTGAATGTCTCAGAATCCAAAAGAAATAATGCCACGTGCAGGAAGAAAATGCAAGTCCATGCCTCGATGAGTGAGCCAAGGACAACTGCCGGTCTCCACCAACTAGCTAACACAATTCTCAGAAGGGATGAGCATGGAAAAAAGGTAGAGTATGGGGAAAAAAACACGGTTAAAAGTTGTCAGCTCACCCCAAACGTATGCATCACCACTCCCTTGAATGCATCGATCAGACGGATGAAGCTGCCATTGGTGGAGATGAGGATGAGTTTGCCATCATTGCTGAACTTAAGCCCTGTCCACTCACAAGTCCGATCATACTGCATCTTAAATGTCGCAAATGGCCCCTGCAAAAGACAGACAGCAGCCCTAGGCCCAAGGCACATCAATAATTCCTTCTGCCAGAGCCAAATCTCATTCTATCCCTTTAGATTCCTTTTTGACTAGGGAAAGCAGAAGATGAAGTACTGCTCTGACACTTTCTAATATCTACCACATACCTCCTCTACTGTAGAAAAAGGCTCTTAAATGTCCATCTCACCCTTCAAAACTTCCATAATATCAAGACGGTTCAAAGATTCAAAGATTTACCTTATCAAAAGAGCGAAGATCATAAAGTTTGACCATTTCAGAATTGACACCTGCAGCAAAAATTAATCCTTCTGGATCAAAAGAACAAACTGGCTTGCCCTGTAAATGCATGAGACCCTGAGAAAAAAGAAATTTTAAAAAAGTTAATGAACCCAGGATGCTACCAAAAGCAAACACAAAACTAACTAAAATGAAGTTAAAAAAAACCTGGTCTCCATGCAATTGATTTCAGATCAACCCTAACTGTATAATTTTATAGACACTGAATTCAAATAAAAACAAATCCCTGGAGTCTAAAATATATAGCTCAAAGGCTCCAGGAAAACTGCTTTTAAAGCACTAAGCCACAGATCATAATAAGTATGCACCGGATTAAGGTATTAGCTTAATTACCAGCTACCTACCAGGAAAAGATCTTCTCCAAAATTTAAAGACTCTGGGATCCCAGGAAAGAATCACTGCTTTCCCCCTTCCTTGAGAGGGAGAGTTGAAAACGCTTAAAGTGTAACTGTGAGGTAACATTACCTGGCAGTTAGGAGACCGGAGATCCCAGAGCCGAATGGTCTTATCAAGAGACCCAGAAATGAAAGTATCATCCACAGGTGACATGGACAAGGCCACCACCCTGCAATGCATCAAGATAAATAGTAGTTGAAGTGAAATATTAACAAAAATTGGATATGAACTCTAAACCACTTTACCTGCCTACCTATACATATGTGTTCTCCTAAAAACTCCATTTTAAGAAACACATACGCAAGCAATCTGGAACAATCAAAGGCAATTAGTATAAAAAAGCAACTTAAAGCTACAGCATAAAAATAAATGATTCCAATGCAAATCAAATCATAATGAAATACCACTTCATACCCACTAGCAAAGCTATAATCAAAAAGAGAGATAACAACTGTTGGTGAGGATGTGGAGAAACTGGAACCCTCATACACTGCTGGTAGGAATGTAAAATGGTACAGTTGCTTTGAATAAGTTTTATACTTCCTCAAAAAGTTAGAGTTACTATATGATCCAAACATTCCACTCTTAGGTATATACCCAAGAAAAATGAAAACATATGTCCAAAAAATCCCCCGTACATGTATGTTCACAACAGCATTATTCATAATTACTAAAAAGTGGAAACAACCCAAATATCCATCACCTAATGAATGGATAAAGAAAACGTGTTATTGTCATACAAGAATATTATTTGGCAATAAAAAAAATGAAGTACTGGGGCTTCCCTGGTGGTGCAGTGGTTAAGAATCCGCCTGCCAATGCAGGGGACACAGGTTCGAGCCCTGGTCTGGGGAGATCCCACATGCTGCAGAGCAACTAAGCCCGTGCGCCACAACTACTGAGCCTGCGCTCTAGAGCCCGCGAGCCACAACTACTGAGCCTGCGAGCCACAACTAGTGAGCCCGCGAGCCTAGAGACCGTGCTCCGCAACGAGAAGCCACCGCAATGTGAAACCTGCGCACCACAACGAAGAGTAGTCCCCACTCACCGCTACTAAAGCCCGTGCAGCAATGAAGACCCAACGCAGCCAAAAATAAATAAATAAAAAAGAAAGAAATGAAGTACTGATTCATATTACAACATGTATGAAGTGAAAGAAGTCAGACACAAAAGGCCACATATGATCTGGTTCCATTTATACAAAATATCCAGAATAGGCAGTTATAGAGACAGAAAGTAGATTAGTGGTTGCCAGGGGCTGGGAAGAGGGGAAATGGGGAGTGTTAATGGGTACAGGGTTTCTATCTGGGGTGATGAATATGTTCTGGAATTAGATAGTGGTGATGGTTGCCCAACTCTGTGAATATACTAAAAACCACTGAATTGTACACTTTAAAAGGATGAATTTATGGTACTGAACTGTATCTCAATTAAAAAAAAAAAGCATGATTCCTTAACTGGAGGTTTGTGGACTATACTGATGTTCTCAAACCTGAGTGGCACCAGCATCACCTGGAGGGTGGGTTAAAACAGACTGCTGGGATCCACTGCCAGAATTTCTAATCCAGTAGGTCTGGGGTGAGGTCTGAGAATCTGTGTTTCTAACAAGCTCCTCAGTGATGGTGAGACTGGTGGTTTGGGCCCCACACTAAGAGAACCACAGCCCTATGCTAATAGCCTATGCTATATTTCTGATATGGGTCCCCTCTTATGGTTACACCAGTCACTCACTGAAAAACACTTCTTCCAAGGCCTCATCCTGAGCTCTCTTGTCCCCTCTGCTCATGTTCTTGCTCTGCCACGCTCTGCGTTGAAGACACCCATCATCTCCCCGGCATTTGGGCCCAGCCCGTGGAGAAGGATGGCATGTGACTCCACTTTACTTGCCTCTTTCTTGGAGCATGCCACGGCCCTAACCAGAGGGATCCTTGAGGTCCGTGGGCTATGACCTGTACAGTGCCTATAAGTCTGTAGTACATAGAGGAAGCCCTTGTGAAAATGGACACTCAGATGGCTCTTCCTTCTGGGTGTTATGGAAGAGTAGTTCCACATTCTGCCTTGGCTAAAAAACGCTTCACAGACAAAGGAGCTGGTGTCACAGGTGAAGATTACAGAGGAAATGTTGGTGCTATACTGTCTCATTTTGACAAAAAAAAAATTGGAGTAAAAAAAGCGGATCAAATTGCACAGCTCATTTGTGAATGGGTTTTTTAAATGTAGAAATAGAAGAAGTTCAAATTTTGGATGACTCTGAAAGGGGTTCAGGAAGTTTTGGTTCCACTAGAAAGAATTAAAATGTATGCCATGAGTAAAAAATGGAAAAGTGTATTTTTTCTTAAAGTTTTTGACCAAAAAAAAAAAATTCTTCCAATATAACTAAATTAACATTTGCACTAGATCATCAACTTAAAAATTTAAAAGATACTATAAGCCAAAATTTCCTGGGAATGCTGAGGTGGTAATAAAACGGAGTGAGCAGAATGCATATGAACATGTAATTTTACATCACAGTATTCAGGTCAAAAGTTCAGAGGAAGTCTATCTTGGCACAAGGCTCTACGATGAGAGGTAGAGGGAATACAAGGAGGAACAAGACTTCAACTCTAAGGAAGCTTAACTGTCTAGTCCAGACAACTCCAAGAGAGGGTCAGAGAAGGCTTTCAGGAAGAAGCAGCACCTGTGGTGAACAGGGTTTCAATGGGAGTGGCCTTTCTGGAAGTTGCCAGATAGGAAGGCATGAAGCAGTTCAGGAAGCAGCCCAGAGTTCACTTCAACTGGAGTGGTGGGAGATAACACTGGGAAAATGGGTCAGAGGGAAAAGAATCTGACTCCAAGGTTTCTTGAGGGAGGCTGTGGTCAGAGCTGTAAAAACAGGGTGCAGAAGCAGGATGTTGAGGGACGGGGAGATTAGGAGTTGACAATAATTTACCTGAGCTAGGACAGAAGCAAAGGAGTATGGAGCACAATGACACATGAGGTTAAACCTAAGTAGAATCAACGGGATTTAACAACTCACTGGATGTGAAGGCAGGGAAAAAGTAGTGAACAGGTAACAGAGACTTTGAGTCGGGAGAATTGGAAGGGACAGAGATGAAGAAACATGAGGCAGACAGAGGAGCTGGCCCAAGGAATTTAACGATGGATGGAGTATTGGACCTGTAGGTAGAAGTTGAGTCTGGAAATCATGGGCTGAAAATACTGATTTGGGAAGCTATCTGAGGTGAATGAAATCAGTGATGGCCCAAATACCAAGAGAAGGAGAAAAAAGCTAGGGTAGAACCTTGTTTAGAGTCAAAAAGAGAAAGAGAGGCAAAAAATAGCAAAAACAGAACCGAGATGAGAAGCCAAAGGAAAAAAAGTTTTACTGAGAGGTTAAGCACCAAAGAGTCCCAGGCAGTGGATTTTACCTGGAGGCAGCAGGGAAAGCGGAGTAAACAGCTTGGCTTAGATGAGTGAGTTAAACAGTGAATGAGTATGAGGAGGTGGAGAAGGGAATATGCAGATTATTCTTTTATGTTTGATGGCGAAAAGAAGTGGGTGACGTGCTCAAGAGATAAATTTAATATAAGGAAGATAAAGAAGACCGAGTAGGTTTCCCCTGGTGAGTAGGGCTTCCCTGGTGGCGCAGTGGTTAAGAATCCGCCTGCCGGGTTCAAGCCCCAGCCCGGGGAAGATCCCACATGCCATGGAGCAACTAAGCCCGTGTGCCGCCAATTACTGAGCCTGCGCTCTAGAGCCCGTGAGCCACAACTACTGAGCCTGGAGTGCCACAACTACTGAAGCCCGTGCACCTAGAGCCCGTGCTCCACAACAAGAGACGTCATCGCAATAAGAAGCCTGCGCACCACAGTGAAGAGTAGCTCCCGCTCATCACAACTAGAGAAAGCCCATGTGCAGCAACGAAGATGCAACGCAGCCAAAAATAAAATAAATAAAAGTAAATAAATTTAGAAGACCAACTAAGTTTGTGGGCAGCAAAGTCCAGTAAGGAGACAGAAGTAAAAACAGAGGGGTTGGTTTTCTCAAGGAAGAAAAGGCTACTTCTTTCTCAGGGAAAGTGTTCTAAGGAAGAAAGGAGTTTAGGTGAAAGAGGAGTTGAACTCATTTTGGATGGCCTTGATTTTCTCAAAAAAGGAGGGACAAAGTCATCTATTAAGAATCAGGAGGTCAGGAGGTCAAGAGATTGGGCAACTGGGAAGATTGGAAAGAATTTCAAACAACTGCAATCAACTCTTTTATTTTATTTTATTTTTTTTGCGGTACACGGGCCTCTCACTGTTGCGGTCTCTCCCGTTGCGGAGCACAGGCTCCAGACGTGCAGGCTCAGTGGCCATGGCTCACGGGCCCAGCTGCTCCGCGGCATGTGGGATCTTCCCGGACTGGGGCATGAACCCATGTCCCCTGCATCGGCAGGCGGACTCTCAACCACTGCGCCACCAGGGAAGCCCTGCAATCAACTCTTAATTACAGACAGTATATTTGTGAACATTAACTTGACTATAAACAAGCAAAAACATCTACTTGTCACAAGCCATTCTTTGAACTACACAGTAACCAACAGCTGCCACCTCTTATCTTCAGCAACACAGAAATGCCCTTGCCCAATCAGAAGTGCAGCTGAAAACAGTGCTCTTGGTCTACCTCCTGTCAGGGCTCTGAATCACTCCAAGCTATACAGGGTTACTGTACATTTGCAAAGGAAAGCACCAATGATTAATATATCATCCAAGGGAAAATGTGTTTAACATTCAGCCCAAACCTGAAAAACTGGAGGAAAAATACCAAGGGAATTGGGATAAGAGACAGAGAGAAGCAACCTGCATTACAGAACAGAATAAGGGGGACTGCCCTGGTTGCTCAGTGGTTAAGAATCTGCCTGCCAATGCAGGGGACTCGGATTCGATCCCTGGTCTGAGAAGATCCAACATACCATGGAGCAACTAAGCCCATGCGCCACAACTACTGAGCCTGCACTCTAGAGCCCACAAGCCACAACTACTGAGCTTGCACACCACAAATACTGAAGCCCTCATGCCCTACAGTCCATGCACCGCAACTACTGAAGCCCATGCGCCTAGACCCTGTGCTCCTCAACAAGAGAAGCCACAATGAGAAACCTGCGCACCACAAGGAAAAGTAGCCCCCGAGCGCTGCAAATAGAGAAAGCCCGCGCGCAGCAAAGACCCAACGCAGCCAAAAAAAAAATAAATAAATATATACCTTAAAAAAAAAAATAAGGAGGAAAGTTGCTTGACTTTAAAAAAGTACGAAAGGAAAATTTTATTATTTTTTTTTAATATATTTATTTATTTATTTATTTTTGGCTGCATTGGGTCTTTGTTGCTGCATGCGGGCTTTCTTTAGCTGCGGTGAGCGGGAGCTACTCTTTGTTGCGGTGTGCAGACTTCTCACTGCGGTGACTTCTGTTTTGCGGAGCATGGGCTCTAGGCACATGAGCTTCAGTAGTTGTGGCACGCAGGCTCAGCAGTTGTGACTCACAGGCTATAGAGTGCAGGCTCAGTGGTTGTGGCGCACGGGCTTACCTGCTTCACGGCATGTGGGATCTTCCCAGACCAGGGCTTGAACCCGTGTCCCCTGAATTGGCAGGCGGATTCTTAACCATTGTGCCACCAGGGAAGCCAACAATTTTATTAATTTTTTTTACATATTCATTAAGCTCTTCATGTGGAACACATTTATGTAGAGCAGGGTCATGCTGAAATGGGGGCCACCTATACTGGAAGGCCTCAAACATGTAAATGTACTTTCATTAAGGGATGTCTGATATTTGGGATCCCTAAATGCCAAATGTTATTTTTACTACATAGGTTTCCACTGAATATCTTTAATTCACATTCTTCCTATTAATGTTTTAACTGAGGTTTCGGTTTATCTATGAAGTCCTACCCCTGGCCTCTACAACCTCGATTAATCATGAGTTGACTGTTTAGGGAAGGTTAACAAGAGAAGATTAAGAGGTATGCCAAACAGCGGTGAGAAACTAGCTTCAGTTCACTCATAAAATCTCTCCACTCTTTCATTCTCTGGATAACCTCAGGGATAAAAGAACTATCTACTTCTGTAACACGTGCGTCTTACCTTTTGCTATGTCCAGGAAAGTATCTGATGTATTTGTTGTCATGCAAGGACAGGTAACGGATAGTATCTGTAAGAAGATAAATAAGGCATGATGATATCCTACTATTTTTAAAGGAATTTACTTTGCATTTTCATCTTGAAAAGACAAGGTCAAAGAATTCATTGTTTTCCATAATCCAAGCAAGGTGTGAATAACTACTTTTCATGGGACTAGAGATTTCACGTAATTCAAAAGCAGAGTTCTCAAGTTGACAGCATATACAGCAATGTTTAAAATCACTATTGCTGCCAATCTTTGGCTTCTGCATAGTTACAATGAAACTTGTCCTGCAAATATGCACCCCCCCAAAAAAAAAAACTCACAACAATTTTAATGCCCACAGAATGGCAAACCTTAAAGAAAAACATATGGCTACTGAGGAAATAGACTCAAAGAATTAGACAGCCATGCTGAGGTGAGGATCAGGCTGGATTCTGGCATAAGATACTTTTGTCCAGCGTTCTCCAACAGCATGTCAACCCAACCCTCACCTCATCTTAATGTAAACTGGATACACAATTTACATTAAAACTAAATAAAATGGAAAGAGAATTAATGTTCTACTACTTCTTTTCTAATTAACCAACTATCCAATGGTCCCTTATGCAGAAAAGTGAATTATAAAGTGGCCAAAGGAAATGAGAAAATTTAGGTTAAAAAGATCACAAGACATTTAAAAATCAAAGTCATGAACTATACCAAGTCATAGCAGTGAGAATTTGACAATATCCAAGAAAGAAATAATCACAGAGATTTGTGCTTGGGGCAAATAAGACAAATACTCTTAAAAACCAAATGATTCCTCTGAAAAAGCAAAACAAAAAATGATGATGGTGGGAAGGGAACGAAGTGCCATAAAGAAGAGAACTGGAAAGTACAATGCCCCTGAAAAGACTAGGAATAAGAAACAATTGTTGAGAAAAAGGTTATAGGAAATGGGGCCAAAATACAGAAAGGAAAGCATAGAAAGAACATTCTGGAGGCAAACACAACACAGGAACAAAAAGGCTGAAAGCACCAAGTCATCCCAGTGGTTCACAGGGGTACTAATAAAAGGGCATTTAACCTGGGAGAGGGAAAAAGGCACTCTTTGTATGTTCCAAAACTAAATATGGTTTTCTTTGAAAACATGTTCAAAGTTCTCGAATGACAACTATAGAGTATTCCTGGTTGTTCTATTGCTAGGAACTACTCACGTGCCCTAAGCAGAAAAAGACTTCCTCCCCATTACCTGGTTTTCCCAGAGATGAGCAGGGCGTCGCCATCCTCTCCGCCCCACTCGGTAGCTGGTGCGCTGTTCCTGGCAAGGCAGTGGCCTGTACAGTTATCTCCTGTACCGGGTGGTATCATAGACCCTCAAACTGTACAAACTACTACCTCAGCCTGGAATCAGGCAAAATGATACGGAGCGTTGGAGGAACTCTTCAGGATGGATGCACTCGAGACAGGAAAGGCAACATCCTCACAGCAGAGGCCTGGCAGCAAAGCTGCAAGTGCCACACATTTGCCTCATCTTGCACCATATTTGGAGAATCCTCATTTAATCACCCAGAAAAACACCCCAACAGAAGAAATATACCCCAACAGAAGAAATATACCATTCATTCAGATGATCACAGAGATATATTTCCTCAAGATCCTGTTTTATATTCTTGTCCAAAAGCATCAATTGCACTGCTTACTTAGAAAACCACTTCTGAAATAGAGGCATGAAAAGTATAAACGATATACTTACTAAAAACCAAGTACAGGCAGAAAAGTCTCATTTAAAAAAAAAAAAAAAAGACTTCTACCCATCTGCTCTGAGGTAGGCATAACCAAAACAGCGGTCTAAGAAATCTTTGTTGAATGACATTAGAAAAATCGTACTGCTAAAAATGAAACAATCAATAAATCAATGAGATAAGTTAAAAAAAAAAAAAAAAGTCCTAACATGAAAGTGTTATAGCTCAATTCCAAGACAATCTGTCAACTGAGAATGACTTATCCCAGAGGAAAAGCAGGTAAAGGCAGAGATCCTTTATTAGAGAAAGAAATTCACAAGTTTAATTTCTAAAAATAAGTCTTTATTCTTCAAAGACATTAACTTTATTTAAAAGGAAAAAGGGAGAGACTTCCCTGGTGGTCCAGTGGCTAAGACTCCATGCTGCCAATGCAGGGGCCGCGGGTTTGATCCCTGGTTGGGGAACTAAGATCTCACATGTGTGCAGTGAGGCCAAAAAAAATAAGATAAATAAATAAAAGGAAAAAGGGATAAAATTCAAATCAAAAAGTGTCCCTGGAATCAAAGATAACTAAAGTCAGTATACTGTCCTTTGTGACACAGACCATAAATGGTTGGGCACACATCAAAAACTCTTCTAAGGTCTGCTAAACTACCATAACTCAAGCATCTGTAAAACTTTTCTCAAATCTATATATTTTGAAGAGGAAGGTAGCATTGTTTACCACTTGCTGTCAAGTATTCCTTCCTTTTATTTCTTCAAAAAGTATTCGTTTCAAGAAGTTCAAACCGTAAATACAATTTGTGGCTTCCTATTTCCACTCTCCACTCTAAACTGGAGACCTTTCATACTCAGTTTCAAGTCCTTCAGAAGTACTAATGGCTTGCTTGCTTCCAGCATCCCTTCAGTCATAACAATATTAGCACAGCTAACATCATAGGAAAATTTAAAGTAACTATAACCAAACAGAAGTACTCACAAAGATTCCGTGAACAATTTAACAAAGGAAACCATGACCATAACTTCCTAAAAAGAAGGCTTGCTTACCGTCTATTTTGTTAGAGCTGTAAACGACTGTGTTTGCTGCATGAGTGTATCTGATGAGGTCCACGCCGTATTTCTTACTGTACAGGGTTCTCTTTGGTCTGATGAGGAAATGGACAGAGAAAGAAAACCATCAAAATCCTCCATCACCAAAATCTAGGATCTTCATATAAAGAGAAGCACTTGAATGATGTGGGAAGGGTGAAGATTCTTGGTAACCTCTAACACTGAAAAGAAACAGAATTTCTTCCAAAAGGGTGGAAACAAACAATCAATCAAGTGCAACAGGCTTTCACCTCTGAATACCAAATGCCAAAGTTAGGAAGTGGAAGTAAATCTGAGGGCTCAAATCAGCCTTTACTACAATGTTCAAAAGTAAACTTTGAGAAGAAGTACATCTATTTGGGAAGAAAGACACACAAAACAAGTCATAACTTACAAAAAAGAGGAAAATGGGAATACGCCAGACCAATGAGGCCAGAACTTAAGCCATTCACTTGGAAAGAAGCTCTTTCTTTAAGAAGAAATGATTTATCAAAACCGAAACCAGATGCAAAACTGCCTTTCCTAATATAACCTAATATTTCCATCCTCTCTTACAGGTCCAAAGCACTTACTGAGCCTTTTACAAGACAAACCTCACTCTCCCTAACAAAACTAGTCATTGATTCTTTTCTCTTTACTTAAATGTAAAATCACATATTTCTAAGCTAGAGGTTATCAGTCCATTTGTTGAAGTTCCTTAAATATTATCTTCTTCTATAGCACCTTGAAGATCAAGCTGAAACTGATATCTCAGCAAAATATTTAACCAAAAACTTCATAATATTCTACATTTAGGTATAGGAGAATTTCATAAATCCTATATTAATGTTTATCAAGAATTTAATTTATGAAAAGGAAATTCACCCTGTCAATGTAAAAGCCTCTTGAAACCTAGATGCTAAACAATCAGATGACTCAGGGAACTTTAATCATTTGCACTTTCAATTTTTGTGACGTCAAGGGTTTCCCTACATTAAACCTATTTACAAACAAGACTTCTCACTCCAAATGCACTTAATTTTCCACATTTTTACCTTTACTGAAAGATCAAATAAACAAAAAGAACAGCTCAAATGCTACCTTGTTAAGTCCACCACCCTGGGTTCTGCCATGTAGTTACTGTGTGGTAACCAGTGACTGAGTGAACGTGCGTGTGAATGTGTGCTTGCTCTCAAAAGATAGTTGACTTTGCTCCTACCAATGGAAACAGAAGCTTACTTATCTCAGTATTTACCCTACAATAATGAAGACAGAGCCTGAAGAACCAATGTTAAAGGAAAATTTTCAGTTCCACTTATATACGGCCTATTTGTCTCAAATATATCCATATCCAAATATATCCACAGTATTAACCTGAGAATTTGTTCTTAATAACATAAATCTTTTACCTCATATAATTTCCTAGTTTGAAAGCAAGATCCTAATGCATCCATTTCAGAGGATCTTACAGAGCTTATGCATAACATTCTTTCACGAATATTGTGGTAAGCTTCTCTGCACAAACTATGATTCTGGTGATCAGGTACGAATAAATAATATTAAATCCTTCTCTCTGAATAATTCGCATCACCTACCACAGGTAATATCCTTTGTATACTTTCAAATTAAAAAAAAAAAAAAAACAAAACAACACTCGGGACTTCCCTGGAGGTCCAGTGGTTAAGACTCTGTATGCAGGGACAGCAGGTTCGATCCCTGGTTGGGGAACTAAGATCCCACATGCTATGTAGTGCAGCCAAAAAATTAAAATTAAAAAAATCACTCAATGGATGAACTCTATTACAAAGCAAGTTTAAGTGAACAGTACACATGAAAAATATTAAGCATAAAGAATCTTATTTTAGCCATTTTCAAACTCCCAACATTAGTACCATCTAATAAAGATACTGTGCCTTCCAAGAAAATGTTACTTTTCTTCCAATGTTGGTTTGACCTACACTAGTGGCAAATTTTTTCTTCACATTACCACTTAGGATCACAGATTCCTAGAGGCCAGCGAAGTGATCTGACCAATGTCACATACCTGGTCGCAAGGCCAAACTAGAACCCAGGTCTCCTATCAGGTTGCTCTCTGACCACAGATCACAATGAAACAAGGTCACAATTAATCCATACGAATATTTTAAAGAGCGTGCTGTATACTATTGTATCAATGTTAAATTTCCTAGTTTGGATAACTGTACTCTGGTTACCTAAGAAAACGTCCTTGTGCTTAGGAAATCCATGCTGAAGTTTTAGGATAAAGGGACTTGATACCTCCAAATTACTCTCTAATGGCTCAGGGAAAGAAAAAATTGTGTGTGTGTGTGTGTGTGTGTGTATCTACAGAGAATGACAAAGCAAACAGAGCAAAATGTAACCAATTATTGGCTCCTGGGAGTTCTTTGAAACAATGATGTAACTTTTCTGCAAGTTTGTAATTATGTAAAAATGCTACATGAATGAATAAACTGCATAAACTGCATTATGTTATAAAATTAACATTTCACTTTTAACAAGACAGCCTTCAAGTCAATGTCATTCCTACCAACCGCAGAAATTATGCAGTATTTGGAGAGAAACTGTGAAGAAATGCTGCCACAACCTTCATTTTCTTTGAATGAGGATATACATCTCCATCCTCAAATTCATCCAGGGAGAAGTTCTAATCTGTGCACAAGCGCTAAACACTTCAAGCAAGTCAGCTTCAATTCACTTCTAGCTCCAGTACCCCACAACCCCAATCTCCACCCTAGCTTTATACGTTACTCTCTATTCCAGGCTAATGCAAGTGGCCGGACCTGGACGAAAACCCATCTATGAAATGAATAACATTGACTCACATCTCTCAGCATCAGTCCAGCTAACAATTCTCTCTTCCCTCAGGACCACCACTATAGGCCACTCTTCCACATACCGCAAGCAGATCCAGAGCCAGTTACATAATACTTTTTCCACAGCCCAAATGGGAAAAAATTGGGCAGAACAAAATAGCCCAGACCAATACAGCATTACTTCAGATAACCAAATTCACAAATGAAGAGACAACTTCCAAAAGAAAGTTTATAGAAGACATTGGTTTAAACAAAACAGAGTAAAGGAACAGCTGGAGAAGGTAAAGAAAAACCCAAGGATTCAAAAAGGAGATCACAATTTAGCAAGGATTTGGAGAAAGCAAGTCTGGGGCGGGGGTGAGGGGAAGCTGACAGGTCCCCAGGGAAAAAGGCAAAAAGCTGTGCTTTTAAGATCTTGCAGAGATACAGGTGTGGTGAGTCTCCATAGGACTTGGGACAACCTAGAAATGTCATGATCAGACTCGGAATTATGATAAGTCCAAGAGGACCATAAAGTATAATTTTTTAAAAAAGTATAAGAAGAAACACGAAATTGTCAGACGATGCTTTCTTTGTTCTACTAGGAGGTTCACATTCAGGTTGGGATGCGACAGCCAGGTGTGTCTGGCAAAAAGGAAAAGTTTCGGATGCAGGTAAAAAGTTAACTATAAACGTGGGCATCAGGACTGAGGGAGCAAGAGAATGATTTGGACCAGAAAGGAAATGTCAGGGGTCCCAAAGAGGCAACAAATAAATCCTGACAGCCAACAACTGCAACCCACGCGGCCTTCCGGCAGAAGGGCGGCGGAAAGCTGAGGGGCAGGGGTCGGGTGAAGTGCCAGGGCTGAATCGAGGTGACCGAGCAGAGGGCAGAAAGAGCGAGCTGCCGCTGCTGAACGAAGCAGCAGAGCAGCCTCTGCGGTTCTGCGCGGGGGCCACAGCCGACTGGCACCTTCGACGGAGTCAGAGGAGCGTTAAAGCTACCAGCTGGGGCAGCGGTGGGCGGACCCTGCGTTTAAAGGTCAAGGTCAAGGTGTGGCTTGGTCAGAGATGCTAAGGCTCTCTGTGAGGAGACCGAAGGCAGACAAAACAAATATATGATTACTGTTATTGCTATCATTATTTTAAAAGAAAAAAAAAATGGTCTCCCGGACGGCTTCTGAGGGGACGCGGCCCCAGCGGGAGAATGTGCAATACAGGCCGCGGGCCAGATCCGGTTAGAGGGCGGGCCGCGGGGGGAGCGCAGGGTCACGACAGGGAGGGCGGGAGGGACTCAGACCCGGGCCCAAGGCCACCGGCGCACTCACTTGCCCTCCTGGCAGTCATAGAGCACGATGGAGTCGTCGTCGCTGCTCGAGATGACCGTCTCGCCGTTGGGGCTGAAGTCGAAGCAGTTAATCTTGTCCGAGTTCTCGCGGAACACCTTGGCGACGCGGAAGCTCCGCAGCACGCTGTCGGTCAGCTTCATGGCGGCGGCTGCTGGAGGCGGCGGCGGCGGCGCAGAGCCGGGGCGGAGCCCGGCGAACGGGCGGGCTGCCGAGGGGCCGACCCGGGCGGGGCGGGCGCGGCGCCGCGCCGGCGGCGGGCTGGAGAGCGGCCGACAGTCGGGCCGCCTCCTCCTCTTCCTCCTCCTGCTTGTGCAACACTCTTCTGCCGGGACTATAGGGTCTCGCAGACCGGTCCTCCTCACTGTCGCCTCAGGGCCAACCGGCGCGGCACCGGCTCATTGTGTCCGCCATCTTGGGGCGACAGGCAGAAGTCGAGGGCGAGGAGCCTCACCGCGGCGCCAGCCGGGAAAGGGGGCGGGGCGGGAACTGCAAAGCGAGGCGGGGTGGCGGGGCGGTGACGTCAGCGCGGCCGGCGGGGAGTGGTGTGGCTGGGTGGCCAGAGGCGGCGATTCCCCGACCCGCTGGGGGGCGGGAGGGGCGGGGATTCCCACGTCCTTCCCCGCCTTGGGCCCCAAGGCCTTGGGTTCCCGGGAGCCGCGGGTCTTTGTGCGGGGCCGCAACTCCCCCGAGAGACTCGGGTGCCCCCTGCAGGCGCCCCGGCCGCAGGCAGAGCGAGAGCAGGTACTGCGGGAGTGGGCTGCGCTCCAGGAGGCCTGTTCTGTGTATGAGTCATCGCTGTCGGGCTTTGACCGCGTGTCCACCACATCGCCAGAAGACTTAAATTTATGTATTTTTTAAATTAAGGTGTACTATACGGTAGACTGAATAAATTTTAAGTGGATGAATTTTTTTTCATTTGGGTGAATTTTCTTTTTCATGTGGATGTACACTCTTGTGACCACCACCCGCAACTTTTCTTTAAGCCTTCTTTAAAAACTTTGTAATTGATATATAATATAAAGTGCATAAAATGAACTAATTTTAAGTGTTCAGCTCCACACATTTTATAAACACTCATCTTTAAGTTTTAAAACATATTTACAGCTCAAAAAACTCATAGCATCAATTACAAGTAAATTTTTTTTTTTTTTTTTTTTTTTGCCGTGCGTGGGCCTCTCACTGTTGTGGCCTCTCCCGTTGCGGAGCACAGGCTCCGGACGCGCAGGCTCAGCGGCCATGGCTCACGGGCCTATCCGCTCCGCGGCATGTGGGATCTTCCCGGACTGGGGCACGAACCCGTGTCCCCTGCATCGGCAGGCGGACTCTCAACCACTGCACCACCAGGGAAGCCCACAAGTAAATTTTTGAAAGGTAAAATTATCTCCTTATTCAACAAAGCACAGTTTTAAATTCTCCTGATATCCTCCTCCTTATTCATATATCAACATATGCTGTAGATGCTGTCATTTTCCCCCCTGCTTTAGCATTGTATCTTACACATTTTTGCATGTTACTTAAACCAGATTGTTGTTAGTGTTCTCCATTGAGGTATGATTTATGTACAGTAAAAATCGGCCTTTTTCAGAGATAGTTTTATGAGTTTTAAAATCCCCATACAGTTGTGGAACCACCACATTCAAGATATAGAACAGTTGCATTATCCTCTTTGTAGTCATCGGGATTGTTGTGATGATTCCCATAAGGGATTCTTTGCCTTAAAAGGAAGGAAAGTTGATCTCTAACAAAGGAAAACAATATCTGATCACAAAATAGGTACCATGCGCCTTGGCTTTAACTTCCTATGAGGGTTCATAGATCTCTAACTTGTGTGCAGCCCCTCAAACGTTTAATTGCCTGGGTCTCCAACAATGGAGACAGAGGCCTATTTATTTTGCTTCACTAAACTACAGTGGCTAAAGAGAAGGAAAGGGGAAGAGGAAAGACTGAAACATTTCAATCACTGATACTAGGAAGAAGTGATATCCAGAGATCAGATATAACCTGGACAATGGTGAAAGCAAAACAGAAACCTTGGGCTTCCCTGGTGGCGCAGTGGTTAAGAATCCTCCTGCCAATGCAGGGGACATGAGTTCGAGCCCTGGTCTGGGAAGATCCCACATGCCTCGGAGCAACTAAGCCCACGCACCACAACTACTGAGCCCGCGCACCACAACTACTGAAGCCCATGTGCCTAGAGCCTGTGCTCCGCAACAAGAGAAGCCACTGCGATGAGAAGCCTGCACACCACAACGAAGAATAGCTCCCCGTTCACCGCAGCTAGAGAAAGCCCACGCGCAGCAACGAAGACCAAATGCAGCCAAAAATAAATAAATAAAATAAATTTATTAAAAACCAAAACAAAACAAAACAAAACCAAAACAAAACAGAAACCTCAGGACAGTTGGGGGCTTTCTGGAAAGAACCAGGGGCTATGTCCCATCCCCAGGTAAAAAAGAACCAGGATCCCTGCACATAAAGTGAACTTGTTCTCTGAGAGTAGAGGGCAAGATCCTGGCTAAGTCTGGGCTGCAATTGCCTCCTGACAAAGAGCAGAGCTTCTGGCTACAATTTGTTCTGGGGTCTGGAAAAAGCTTGTTTGAGTGGAACCCGAATGCATGGCAACTTTCCAAATTGCAAAGCAGTGGAAGAAAAGTCCTCTGTGCCCCCCAGAGCACAAACTTCCCTGCAATTCCTGCTTTTTTTATTTCACAGGCTAGAAAGGCTAATGTAGAGTCTGCTTTGAATGGTTCGACAGCAACAAAGACAGATCTGGTGCCATGTCTTAGAATGGTTGGGAAGATGAATACCCAGTGAGATACTATTTTTTGGGCCCTCTTAATCTATAAAAATAATCACAGAAACAGCCATAGTCTGCTGAATGTTGTAAGGCAAAAGAAATCTTTGCAATATATCTTTCAAGTTGTGTACTTCCTGTACCTTTCCCAGATTTCACTGTTAGACTGAAGCTCCCTCCAAAGACTTGACTTCCTGAATTATTTTTGGAATGGAAAAAGTCATTTTTTCATATTTTAAGAGCACCCTGAAATGGCTCAGCCTTTTTCACATTCTCACTGTTTCACATTCCTAGCCTGGCTCTCTGCCTGTTACAGTGGGGCTCTCCTGGCTTCCAATCCAACAGTGCCTTACAGGCTGGACTTTAAAAAGTGACCCAGAAGGACTTCCCTGTTGGTCCAGTGGTTAAGAATCCACCTTCCAATGCAGGGGATGCGGGTTTGATCCCTGGTCAGTGAACTAAGATCCCACATGCTGCAAGGCTACTGAGCCTGCATGCTGTGGATTCTGCACGCCACAACTAGAGAGAGAAGCACGCATGCCACAACGAAAGATCCTACATGCTGCAACGAAGATCCTGCGTGCCACAACTAAGACCCGACGCAGCCAAATAAATAAATAAATAGTGACCCAGAAAGGCTGGCTCCAGTGGGGGGTGGACAGAGGGGACAACTGCAGTCAGAAGTGAATCATATTGCCTTAAAGAGCATCAGCCTTAATTTTTTATATTTCCTTTCCTTTTTTTAAAAAAATTATTTATTTAATTTATTTATTTTTGGCCACATCGTGTCTTTGTTGCTGCACGTGGGCAGCCATCAGGGGCTACTCTTCAGTGCGGTGCACAGGCTTCTCATTGCGGTGGCATCTGTTCTTGTGGAGCATGGCCTCTATGCACGCGGGCTTCAGTAGTTGTGGCTCGCAGGCTCTAGAGCACGGGCTCAGTAGTTGTGTTGCACGGGCTTAGTTGCTCCGCAGCATGTGGGATCTTCCCGGACCAGGGCTCGAACCCATGTCCCCTGCATTGGCAGGCGGCTTCTTAACCACTGTGCCACCAGGGAAGCCCTATTTCCTTTCCTTTTAATCATTATTTCATTTACTTACATACATAGTTTCCCACATAAGCAAATACACATCCATTGCAGAAAACTAAAAAATACAAATAATTAAAACAACATAGTGTAAAGGAGTAGCTACTGTTACATTTGTTTTGATGTAGAACTTTTCAGACTTTTTCCCCTGAAATATATTTTTATTGGGTTCATTATATAATATTATTTATAACCTACCCTTGTCATAGAATACAATGAACATCTTCCAGATCAATAAATACAGAACTACACAATCATTTTGAATGGCTATCTACTATTCCATTATGTGTTCAGAAAGTAATTTTGCTTCCCATTTTATCCAGAGCCCAGCCAAGGTCTGACTCAATATATATTGTTAATTGAACAAATGAATTTAGCCAAAGGATTCAAGGTATTTAATTGGCCCATTTATTTTTTTTCCATTTTCTCTCTCTTTTTTTAAAAAGACAGTGTTTTTAGAGCAGTTGTAGGTTCACAGTGAAATGAAAAGGAAGGTACAGAGATTTCTGTATACGCACTGCCCCCACACATGCACAGCCTCATCTATTATCAACATTCCTCACCAGAGTGGTACATTTGTTACAATGGCTGAACCTACATTGACGCATCATAATCACCTTAAATCCATAGTTTGCATTATGGTTCACTATTGGTTTTATACATTCTATGGGTTTGGATACATGTATAATGACATGTATCTATTATCATGGTAAACAGAGTAGTTTCACATCCGTAAAGAACCTCTGTGCTCTGCCTATTCATCCCTCCCCCACTCCCAAACCCTGGCAAACACTGATCTTTTTACTGTCTCCATAGTTTTGCCTTTTCCAGAATGTCATCTAGTTGGAATCATGCAGTATAAATATATCTTAAAAATTGTACTCGTCCGAACACTTGGGAATCAGTCGCTACCTGGCAACATTATGTGTGGAGAAAGTAAAGGATGTCTAGCTGTAATAACAATTATCTTACATACACACACATTTTTATTTATACACATGATCTCACTTGAGCCTCATAATGACTCTATGAGAGGCAAAAATGGAGACCAAGAGAGGTATTCCAGCAGCAAGTGGCAGAACCTGGACTTGTCTATAGATAATTATGTATATATGTGAAGCTGTTATCAAACTCAGGTTTGGCTGCTCACTGCTCAAAAGCCAGTACTCGAGAAACTAGAATTGGTTGGAAAGGGAAATTTTGCTTTATTCAGGAGGCGGGCAACCTGGGGAGAAGGTGGACCTGTGTCCCAGAACCAACTCCAAAGATTCTGCTAGGCCATGAAAGTTTTTATTTTTTTTATAAAGGTTTTCTTTTTTAAAAAAATTATTATTTATTTATTTATTTGGCTGTGTTGGGTCCTCATTGCTGCGTGCGGGCTTTCTCTAGTTGTGGCAGGCGGGGTCTACTCTTGGTTGCAGTGCTCGGGCTTCTCATTGTGGTGGCTTCTCTTGTTGCGGAGCACGGGCTCTAGGCACTCGGGCTTCAGTAGTTGTGGCACACGGACTCAGTAGCTGTGGCTCGCGGGCGCT